CGAAGTAGGAAACCGAGACTCTCCAAAAGTGATGTTTAGTATCTCAGGATATGTTCTTTACGAGATAGACAGTGGTCGAGTACGTACCTCGCCAATGACCTTGCTGAGTGGTCTCAGTGGACGTGTAGCTAGCTATTCGACAACTGCTGTTGAGAAGAGACAGTCAAAACAAACGGTTCAAAATGTAATCAGACCGCAAACAATAGAATAAACAAAGATGGAGACTTGTGCTCTTTAAAGATGAATCCAAGTTTGAATATTTAAGACTAGACAGTACACTGTGCTTATTTAAGGGGGGATTATGATACTGGTGATGATTACAACAACAGAAAGGCAATAACGAGAACAAAAACCTGGCCCTCCATTGTGCAAGTATACTACTATTTAAACACGTTTTTTTTTCGATCAATTTGGTACTGATTCTCACAATTTCGAGAAAATTGTTGTATTAACACTCACTCATACAAACATGCAACTACTAGTTCCCACTTATGTAAACATATATAGTTGTTGGCCCTCCCTTATGGAAGCGGTAAGTTTACACACTTACAATGCTAGAATCCAAGGTTCTATTCCCCACATGTGATAGAACGCAGATAGCTCGTTTTGTAGCTTTGTTCTAAAAATAAACAATAAAACCTTTATGCATGCACACTGGTACTAGGGCTTCTTTATGCAAATACACAAATGTTTGCGTTGATTATTACGATAATACAAGAATTGCCGCTTATCTCTGCAATCTGCATATGCTAAATGGATACTCAACTTTTAATACCCGTCTTATCAACAGAAAAAGATCTATAATATGTGAAAATCTTTAAATCTTTTATTTCTCGGTATGTAAAATAAAAAACTAAGATATTTGTTGTACCAACTCAGTCTTCGACACTGAAGAAAAGAAGAGGCGTTATGCATGATAGAAACCACAGAAATGGTGGAATGTCAACTATGTGGTATACAATTACCATAGTCGTAATAAGTAAGATAAATATTGTTTGTATGTTTAATTGTTATTAAATACAGGGCTACACAATGGGATATCTGTACTATGACCACCGCGGGACCGAACCCCGATATTTAGTGTTATGAACCCTCAGACTTACCGCTAGCCACCAATAGGCAAACCAAATATTAAGTTATGTAGTGTTTAATGGTTGCATTTGTTCGCATCTGGACATTAGCCATTAAGTGGCAAAAAATATCATCATTGCTTCTGACATATAATAGTTCTATAACACAAAGAAATACTACCCGCGTCAACACACATAGATTAAAGCAAAAACTTTGTGTTTAATATTTATTTGTTCAAAGAATATCAGGTACAAATTAAATAAAGTGCCCAAAAATTCAGTTTTGTTTTGTTTTGGGTTATTTGCTGAAGAAAGGTAAAAACAGTACAGGTTTAAGGAAAACTTTAGTGTAAAATCCAATGAGTAAACATTTAACTCTCACTGCCATATTTAAAGATAAACAACCCTTCCAGTGCCAGGTTTATTTTCAAACACACAGAGAAAACCCAAAAGACACATGGTTAAATATTTCATTATTTATCTGAATCTTAAAACTAGTCAACTCTGAGACATTGGAAGAAAAATACTCTTTGTTAATGGTGGTACAAAATTCCAAACTCACAATAGAGGTGCTCTAGAAGGGACAGAAATGTGTCTATGACAGTGAAAGAGTTAAAGAGATAAAATGTCATTTGTTTTATGGTCCTTTAAAAATTTAACTAAAAGGTTTTGAACATTTCCATAGTATAAAGAGAATCTAAACATAATCTATATCAGACACAACTTACACAAGTGTCGTTTAGGCATTGTAACTAATTGGATAAGCGTAAGGAGATGGCTATAACGCAGCTTTCAAATGGCATCAAAAACATATTATATAAAACAATGACAAAAAAACGTTCGACATGCTTATCCCATCAGTCAAGCTACAGTTTAGATTTTAATGGTGGATATCAGTTTCCTTATAACAAAGTAATTATAACATTTAAACATTTGACAGCAATATAAAGGTTAACACTAAGGTCAAGTCACATGTGCTTCACAACCTTTACGCAAAGATAAAAACAAAACATATGCTGTACAATCGGGAATCAGAAAAAAAACCGAAACATTGTCAAATCCAGCAATGTCAGCTGTAAAATGTTTTAATATTTAAATGAAATCTGCGTAGTTTATAATTTAAGTCGAAATGGACTTTACATAAGGATAAGAATAAAAACAAACAAACAACATTTCATCAATTGTGAATGAAAACATCGCATTTACTGATAAATTAGATTGGAGGGTTTAATTTACTTCTCAGATTTTTACTAATCATGAAAAGTTAAGTTCTTGCGAATTTTGATTCTAATAAAACATTTAAATATTTAAAAATAATAACGTTATTATTAATATTAAAGCACATGAGGGTTCGTTTGTTGTCGGAATACATAAAATTGATGTTTATATGACACGCGTAGTTTTATACGAAAGAATTACATGTAGGATTTATTTACAGCGACTGTTAACTGTGCTGCACATCTAATTAAAGTATAGTATTTCTTGTCAGTATACATCAAAAGTATTAGTATTGAATAGTAACGACAATATTTGGTGATAACCAAATTTCACTTTTAACTTCGTAACTTTTTTTTAAAGTTACTCATTATCTATTCAAGTTAAACCAAATCTAGCCATATTTTGTTGGTTTTAAATGACTTTTTATGCTAGAACGCCGCATTAAAAATTCTACCAAAAATCCTTAATGAAAATTGTCGCATTATCCAAAGTTTACCCGCTTTTTTGTATTGTTTTTCTGCTTACAGCTGCAGATTGTAACGCAAATCAATGTTCTTTTTTGCCTTTGGAATTAATGTGGGAAAATTCCCTTCATCATTCCACATAAGGAATTTTCGTAAATTTACCGTCTTGAAAGCTAGTCAACCTATTGCTCAAGACCATCGGAGATCCATCAAATAAAGACGACATGATGATAGAACCTTTAAATGTTGCCGTCAAATAAAGACGACATGATGGTAGAACCTTTAAGTATTGCCGTCAAATAAAGACGACATGATGGTAGAATCTTTAAGTGTTGTCATCAAATAAAGACGACATGATGGTAGAACCTTGAAGTGTTGCCATCAAATAAAGACGACATGATGGTAGAACCTTTAAGTATTGCCGTCAAATAAAGACGACATGATGGTAAAACCTTTAAGTGTTGTCATCAAATAAAGACGACATGATGGTATAAACTTTAAGTGTTTCAAATAGTGCAAACCCGATGAAGGGTCATTTTCCCCAAACGTTGTTTTCACATTTGTCAAGAAACGTATTCAAATTTGGCGAATATTTTCACCTTGTTTGTTTCCTTCTACATTTTGTACTTTACTCGCCTACGCATTTCTATTATTTGTTTGTTTGTTTTGAATTTCGCGTAAAGCTACACGAGGGCTATCTGCGCTAGCCGTCCCTA